GATATTCCTCTAGCAAACTCAAAGGGCCGCTTTGGAATGGAAAGTGAAAGACTTTATTGACGAGGTTATTGGCTGTTGGAATGCAGGGAAGATCAGGGAGTGCTTCGATTGGAATAGTGCAAAATCCATTCTCTCCATGGAGCTTCCGCAATCAAAAGAGGATGATTTCCTTTACTGGAAATATCACCCTTCGGGAAGGTACACGGTTAAAACTGGCTATTACTATTTGTCCAAAGACCTAGGGCTAGCAAAAACCACTTTCCTTGCTAGGGATCAGAATTTTGTGAAGCTGATCTGGAGAATGGATATTCAGCCAAAATGGAAGTTTTTCCTGTGGAGACTCTTTCATGATAGTATCGCAGTCAAAGCTAATTTGGCTAGAAGGGGAATACAAGTCGATGAGACTTGTGATCATTGCGGGGTGGGTGTGGAGGACAGCCAACACCTCCTTAGATTCTGCAATCTGGCAAAGGAGGTATGGGAGAATGGCTCCCTTACTATTTGCCATGACTCTCATGAGTCCAGTTCCTTGAAAGGATGGATTCAGCACTATATCCTGCTCTTTTATAGCGAGGATGGTAAGTATAGTCACCGTTGTGCGTTGTTTATCGCAACTTTATGGGGACTATGGAAGACAAGGAATGAAAGATGTTTCAAAGGTGCTAGAGGTACGACAGGGCTAGTGGGGGAATTTATAAACTTAGCAATGAAAGACCACGAGACCTTTACACAACAGGGGAATGCGACCAATGAAGTGGAGGCGAACAATGGGAATGACCCAATCATTCCTCCGGGGTTTAACTATGTTCATCTAGGGAAAGAGAAGTTAGGTTTTGATGACTTCATAGTGGAAGTGGATGGCTCTTGGGATAAGAATTCAACAAGAGCAGGGATTGGTTGGGCGGTCAAGGCAAATTCCCAGGGTTATGACATGGATGAAGGGGGGAAACATGGAGCGACTTCGTCAGCCCTCCATTGTGAAGCTTGGGCTTGCCTTGAAGCGATGAAATGGGCTCAAGCTAAAGGTAAGCAAGGGATCCTTATCTTATCTGATTCCATCTCTCTTATGGATAATTTACAGGATAATCTAGGTAAGGAAATTCTGATAACCTGGATTCTAAAAGAGATAAGGGAGGTCGGGTCGGTGTTTCGAAGATGCACAATCTTAAAGGTGCGTAGGGATCAAGTTCAAAGGGCGGATGATATTGCGAGAAAATGTCAGATTACCCTGGCGAACTATTTGTAGTTTTGTATTGCTTTTGCTATTGTCAAAAAAAAAAAAATACTACTAATTTCAGTCATAAGTTTGAACAGGATCCTAATTGTCAGTTTGTCATAAACTACAAGAAATTTGATGTCTTGTGGCAGTATTAAAATGTGTTTTATGCACAAGTTATCATATAAAACAACAAATTAAAGTATTACATGATCCTTTGTTTGAAGGGCTTTGCTGTGATACTTGGGATGAAATCTTAATGTCGATTTTATATCTATACATTACGAATTATATTAATTTATTATTTCTATTTTCAAGAATTTAGATTCGAACCAAAGGATGAGTGATTAGAGGATAAAACTCAAAGAAATTGAACGAGTTTATAATAATTTGGACAACATTTTTTTTTTAATCATTTTCATGGCCTTCAAAAAAATATATCGTCATTTTACCATAAATTTATAACAACAACTTTAAAATAAACCGCTAAGAGAAAAAAAAAGGTTTGGCATCCGTAACAAAAAAAAAAAAAAAAAAATCCTCTTCCTTTCTCAAATTTCCCTTAGAGACTATTCACATTACTAAACTAAACTGATTGGAGCTGAACTGAACTGATTGAAGCTTAACTGAACTGAACTGAACTGAAATGAATATTTTATGAGAGAAGGAATAGGAGCTGAACTGAATTTAGCGGAAATGAATATTTTATGAGAGAAGGAAATTAAGAGCTGAACTGAACTGATTAGAGCTGAATTGAACTGGACTGAATTGAAGTTGAAGTGAAGACCTACATTCCTCCCTTTGTTCCTTAAATTCTCAGTTATGAGCAAAACAAAATCACTAACACACACCTCATATTGTGTATGTGTTTTAGCATGGAACATTATAAGCACCTCTTAAAATGACAAAAATACCCCTGAACTCAAACATTTGTTCAAATTAAACATTCACACACACTCAATCCTAGACCACTTCATTAGGACCACCTTTAAGAATATCACTTTTGTTAGTGCGTGGAAGTGATCTAAAACACTAGGAAGTAAATGGTTCCTTTCTTTCTTTTGCCTCAAATAAGGTAACGCAATGTTGAAGCAACACTACAAATGCATGCAAGGACCATTTTTCTTCTTTTATCTTTTTGCAATAAATATAACATGAATCATGATAAATAAAAATCTCAAAGTTTGATCCAATTATTTTTTTCTTCATTATTTCATTTTATTTTCTTAGAGAAAAAGCAAAAGCAACTTGTTTTTAATGAGCTTCTTCACAGCTTTCACTATTCCCATAGAAATTTTCTTCAATCCCAATTGTAAACTTCATTTTATTACTTGTGATTGCGATCTCGAATCTTTTTTTAATTTCCCCCCAAAATTCTATTATTAGTGTGACAAATTTCTCATCTTTTTTATTTCTATCTTTTTTTATGTGCTTTTTTTATTTTTTTAACCTTCTTTGATCAAATCAAACTGTCGTTCTCTACCATGCATTTTAGTAGCTTTATGATCCAAAAAATGAAATATCTACTGATCAAGTGATCCTCTTCGTTTCTTTTTCTGCATCCCTACATTGGGTACATACCTTTCTTTTGTCCCACTTCTAACTTTCTCTACGTTCTAGACGATTTCAAAGTTACTATGATCTCCGATCCTATTCAAAAATAGCATTTGTGCTATTTTTGATTTTGAGACTGAATCTTAAGTTCTTAACCATTACTCTACTCGGTGGAGGAGAAAGCTCAGTCCACAAACAAGGCTTAAGGACATTTCATATTAAAATCAATTGGTTTGTTGTTAATAGGTTTATCAAAGGTTCAAATATTGAACCTTATCGAAGAGGACTTTTTAAGTTAATTATAGCTAAAGCCCAATCCAATTAAGTGTATATCCAACTCAACAGCACAGGCTCGGATAGTCGGATCACTTCTATCATGATTTATTTATATGCATGGAGTGTTTTGATGATCATAGTGTATATATACATTACATTGCCATTTTCAATTATTAATAATTCTAACATGCATATATAGTTAGACTCTTAGAAAAGGAATCCCTAACTAAAAGAATTATGTTGAATATGATAGCTATGCCGCAATAGTAAAATTTCTAATAAAATCTCCTATTATTGTTATTGGGACAACTATAGATAATGTAAAAGTAGAGTAGAATTCAATTAGTCTTCAAAGTTTTAATGGTGGAAACTTGTGGTACATAATATCATCTTTGGAAATGACATTAATGTTAAAGAGGGCGGTGAAGATAATAAAATCGATCATTTCATTGCATTTGTTGAAGTGACAAATGCTCTAATTTTAGCCCTATACGTTTGGAGTACATGCCCCCCTTAAATAGTGGGATGGTTAAGGATTGTCCCAAAGTTAAACATAAGAATGAATAAAATTAGGCATGTTCTTTTACGTTGAAATTTAGTCAGTTCAATTCAGCTCCTAATTTTCTTCTCTTATAAAATATTCATTTCAGTCCAGTTCAGCTCAGTTCATTTCAGTTCAGTTCATTCAGCTCAGTTCAGTTCAGCTCAGCCGAGTTCAGCCAATGAGAACAGGCCTTAGTCTTATTAATTTGGCAAGGAAATTCGATCTATACAGTATTTGTTAGGTATATATTGATAGGAAAGCTCACCAAAAATATATTTGCCAAACTAATTAATTAGCATGAGCCCATTTCCCCCTACATATCTTGTGAAGGTAAATATAAATAAATAAATAAAATCTACCCATAAAATTATTAATCAAAATATATCCCTAATAATTGTAATAATATACTCACTTTTTTTAATAAAAGTTAGAGCGAGTATTTTATCCGATCAAATCAAGACCCACCAAAGTTATTAGGCTTTATGGGAAGTCTAGGAACGAGCCCGAAATATATCCGATTTAAATAGCCAGATTGATGATAATAATAATAATTAAAAATAATGTGCAACTTATAAGTCAAATTTTGTTTAGATTTTATATTATGGAGTCCTTTCGCTCACTCACTTTATTTTTACCTAATCTTTTCCCACATTTTGCAAAACACTAAAACAGGTTTGCATTATTGTGAAATACTGAAATAGTATCTACTTTGATCCAAAAAAAAAAAAAAAAAAAAAAAAAAAAAAAAAAAACAGCTACTCTGTTATGTTGTCTGTCATGAGAGTTTCAATTCTCTATTTTACTATTGGATTATTAGTCTTTTACATGTAAATTTAATATAGATATACATAGAATAGAATTTCATGAAATAAGTTATGAGAATGTTATGACATATCGGTATATGCTCCATATTTTTCAACCACTAAACCTTTTTTCATTCAAAATATCTGTCATTTAAATAGTACTAGTAAATAGTAATATATATGAATGGTTTGGTAGTTTAAAAAACATTGCACTATTAGTCTATTACTTGTGGAAGTAAAATAATACAAATATATAGACCAAAGCGAAGAGAATTCTTCTTGTGTCCAAACATTGGAAACTATATTACTTAATGATGGTAGAAAGCAAGAAATCATTCAAAGAAATGTGCAAATCATTTCAACATTTGACTTAACACATAACTTAATTTACAATTTGCACTTTCATCACTAAAATGATGTCTTGTCATTCCCTTCAACAAATTAAAGTGTGATTAGGTCACATTTACAAGTACGTTAGTGAATTTTTTTTCTACCACAAAATTAAAATTAAAAAAAGGCTAACACAATGTCAAAAAAGATAAATAAACTCCTCTACTTGAATTATTTTTCTCTCCTTTTTTTTCACTAAAATAATTATTCCAAAAAAAAAAAAAAAAAAAAAAAAAACACTACATAATCTTAATTAGTTATCAAATTGAGTAGTCTCATAAACAGGGAGTTCATTCCCAATTAATGAAAGATGATCTAACTCAAATAAATCTGAACTAGAACAACTAAACCCATCATCCTCTTCTTCATCATCATCATGTTGATTATAATTTACGCCGCGATTAACTCCATAATTACCCTCATTAATCTTCTCTTTACTACACAAATCATGGGATTTACTCAATCTATTATCCCAATAACCACTTAATAAATCCAAAGCAACTTCTTCAAGTTTCTTTTGTTGTTGCAATTTATCACTTTCTTTCTCCAACCCATTAAATTTCCTTAATTCTTCATAACTTTTTGACAAAGATCTTCCAAATTTCGAGTTTAACAAACGATCTCCTTTTTCTTCTCGCAAAGATTTATACCCACAAGGTTGAGATTCATCGTCTACAATTACACTTACAGGGCAAAATCTTACTGTCCGTTTAACCCCTTCGTCTTGTACCTTCTTGTTCTTGGTCATACACGACCGAGAAAACGATGATGCAGACGAGCAAGATGAATAGTCATACGAGTAGGAACGAGTATCATCTTTCGTGTTACCTTGTTTTGTAGAAGCTATGCTGTTGTTACCCTTTTTCCTGGAGTTTTTACCCTCTTTTGCGAATAATGAATTCATGAAATTGGTTAGTCTCAACCCTGGTGAAATCGGCTGCTTTAAGTTCTTCAAGTTTGAGTAAAAATGAGCTGCTCTTGATCTTGTTGTACTAGAACTCATTGTTAAATCTTCATTGTCTAGGACTTTGTTGTTGTCGAGTTGTTTAAGATACTTAGACTCGATTGAGTGAGTTTTGATTGGTTTCGGCCTTGGAGGAGCAAAGCAATTAGCTCTATCCTTTTGCTTCGGAGCAGGATAATCAGGAAACTCTGTTTCTGATGGAGAAGATGAAGTTGATGTAGTAGTCGTCGTTGTACTACTGAAAAACAAAGCATCTTGTAAGTCGAATTCTTCGAGCAGAGTCGTAGATGATGATGATCTAGAGTTTGATTTTTTCTCTACTCCTCGAGTAATGACTTTGTCATTTACTTTCTTCTCCATCCATTTCTCCACCAAACACGCCCTTCTGAGACTCGACATTTTCTCATCTTCTAATGTTGTAGGTCGTGGTCTTGCTGTTGGTGATCCTCTGGTTTTTGTGCTCGTAGTTTGTTCTGAGTGAGTTTTGTTGGAAGGTACAGGGTTGAGACCGTCTGATACAAGATTTTGCGAGGTTTTTGAGTGGTGGGATTTGGGGGGTTTATTGAATTTGTTTAAAAAAGAGGATGATAATGTTGGGGTATGGGGATCATCATATTCATGACCATACTTATGCTTGGATTTGGATTTGGACCTGGATTTCTCCCAATTATACATTTTGGGAATATATATGTAGTTTCATGTAATTTGTTTCTTCTGTCGCTAAAAGAAACAAAAACAAAATCAAAGAGTAGGGAATTTAGAAAAAGAAGACAAAAGGTGTTTATGATTTTTGTGGGTTAGAAATATGGTTTAAGTGAAGAAGAACAAAATTACAAGAGAGAGAATGAAAATGAAAATAAAAATTGTGATGCTTTAAAAAAGAAGAGCATGCGCGTGCATGTTAAGAAGGGAGGAATTTAGTTCTTGTTAGTGCCAGTTTGTCATTGTAAAGTTAGAGGGAAGAAGTTGGGAGGATAAAGAATCTTGCAAATTTGGAACTAGCAAATAGAACTACTGATAAATGGGTTTTTCTTTTAAAAAAAATTAAATTATTTTTATTTTTTTAAAAAATTAAAAATGATTAAAATAAAAATTGATGTGACGTGGTAAGATGAGATGCCTCTCCACCTTTGGTCAAGTTTGGAATTTGGGAGCTCCCCAACCTCTTCCTGTTGATTGGAGGCAAAAGCCGTTGATTATGTTTGACAGAAAAATTTAGGAAATTTGACTAAAAGTATTGTCCATATGTAAAAGAAGAACATTTTATGTACAAATAGTTTGAAAAGTTGTTAAATAATTATCATTACCAGGACGTGATGAATTATTGTAAATGTTGTTGAACGATATTAGAGTCTCTATATAAAGTTACCCGTAATACTTTAATTTAAATTAGACACTGTATTAATTAAGAATTTATCGAATATATATTTGAAGTTAGTTATTTTGGTTATTTTTGCAAATAATAATAAAATCATTACTTAACATTAATACTACGTATATAAGGTTAATTAATTCATTTGACGTGCATTGTTAAGTCTCTATTATTCAAATGAAATAGTGCTCAAACAGTCGAACTCACTATATTAACAAACTAATAAAAGTGTTAACATAGTCCACTAGTTATCTTTTAAACACGACTTCTCACAAAGTCACAAATTATTAAGTTTGAAAATGGAACAAAATGCTCAAAAAGATTGATTGATTTTAAGCTAAGTCACATGTTAATAACGAACAATTGAGATAATGCCATAATTAATTAATTATTTATACATACTAATTGGTTCAAAGTAGCAAATTCTATTTTGATATTGCTGCGTTGGCGCATGTAGAAATAGCGTTATCTACGGTTTAATACGTTGGTTCATAATTATATACAACAACGTACATGCATGTCTTTGTATTAGTGAGGCATTATTATTATATACACTGTACATTCTAGAGAGAATTTTTGTTTGTTTAATTCATTAATTAAGTGGAGAAGAATTAAAATAATTGGTTGTTGTGATGGAAAAAAGACAGAAAATGACAAGGAAGGCTCATAGTTAGTTGGTATAAACTTAATTAAAATTAAAATGATATGATTAAAGGATGAAGATCATTTGAGCTGGCATTTGCATTGACAATGTTTTACTAACTACCATTACCACGAGATATATAATTAGCACTATGCCATGAATTAATTAACAAAGTATTAAACAAAAGGAAATTGATCTTATAGGTAGCTTTGAAGAATATATCACCTCATTAATTTATGTTATTTCTATTTGTCTTTTTAGTTTTATTAATATATAATGAGTGAACTAATCATTCACTGACAATGTAATTACTCATTTAAATGACACTTGGCTTCTCAGCTCAAAATTACCTAGCTTGGATATAGAATATCGATCACATATATATAGTAGGGAGTAGGGTTCGTAGGGATGTTTCCCTAATCAATCCTGGATAGTTTTACAAGAATTTGTTAAACACCACCAATAAAATTTATCAAAACCGCCAACAAAATCGATGAATGGACATTGTTGAATAAGTAGCTACAATATCTTTTATTTTTAGCTATTATATATTATATTTGAATGCGTATTGTTAATTTAATTTTATTTTAAGATTATTAAATAATTTAGGCCACATTTATTTTACCAATTTTGCCGATTACATGATTGTTTATGGTTAAAGTTTTGGGTGATACAAACTCACGTAAATCCACCATCTTCATTTTCCTTCTTCCCCTTTCTCTCTCCTCCCGCCCATCAATGGTGGCCAGATCCTCCACCACTCTCCGCCTCCTCTACTCCACCTCCCAACTTGCCGGCGATGAAGATGATCTGGAGAATGACCGGATCTTCTTCTCCACTTCTTTCTCTGTCTTCTTTTTTATTTCCCCCAAATCTTGCATGAAACTTAGATAATTTTGTTGTCGTCTTTGTCCATCTCTTCCATCATCTTCTTCACTTCTTCTAGCGATGTTTCCGATCTTAATGGGATTGCGAGAATTCTTTGCTGGAAATTGTATCTTCATGATAGTTGCTTGATGTAGAGAGAGCATCAAAATCAATCAATCCTCCAAGGGTATATGTGGAAGAATGGTGGTTGCTGCTCAAGAACTTGATGTGGGCGTATGATTTGAGATAATTTTTATCAGGAATAAGATTATTTTAGTCAAGAATAAGGTAAATTTTATTAGAAATAAGACTATTTTAGTCAGGATTAAGATAATTTTTATCAAGAATAAGACAATACTTCCTCCATTTCTATTTAGTTGACGCGTTTGATTTAGACATATATATCAAGGAGATGAGAGAGTAAGAGAGAATGAAAAAACAAGTGGGGTAGCTTGTAAATGCAAGGTAAAAAATTTACCCCAAAAGGAAACGTGTTAACTAAAAAAACTTCCTAAAAGGAATACGTGTCAACTAAAAAGAAACGGAGGTAGTATTATCGATTTTCATGTGAGTGGGGGGATGAATGTGTGCATTATAAATTGGAGTCATGTAAGTCCGTTCTACGCAAAACCTTCTCTTGTGTATATGAAGGAGAGGAATGTACACAGTATTATTAGTTTGATGAATTTGTTGTTCCAAGTTTCTATTACATTTTTAAAGCAATAGCATTTGTACGGAATAGTTGATAACTACATATAGCTAATTCATGGACATTCTCCTTCAACTAGCAAAATCAATGTGAACTCCTTCCCTATCATTAGTTAGACACACATGTATTTTAAGTCAAACTTTCATTAATTTAAATTATTGTTGATAAATATAAGTACCTAATAGGTAAAATGATTGATAAGTTGTACTTGAATTATATAAATATTTATTATTCATAGCGTTTATCTGTATAAATTGGTAAATGTTAATACTCGATACTACACATTTTATTACCTTCGAAAATTATGATTGCTTCACTACATACTCTCTCCGTTATTTTTTACTAACCCGTTTTGACTTTTACACTATTCACCACTCCTCCTTTAACCGTCTTTTGTGAATAATACTCCCTTCATTTTAAAATTGGAGTACTTGCTCCATTTCTCCTTGCAAATTCTAACAATTGGAGTACTTGCTTCATTTCTTCATTTGCACGTATGCCAATGCAATATTAATTATTAATAAGTGTAAATTCTAACAATTGAAAATTAATAATTTATTCATTGCAACGATTCCAACAAATACTCAGCCACAAGACTATATTTTTTCTTATGTATAAATCACAAATATAAAGTCAGATAAATGAATAAGTGCAAAAAATAGAAATGGAGCAAGTATTTAAGAATGAAGGGAGTATGTAAGAAAAAACATATTTATGTGAGATCTTTTTAAATTCGTTACAACAAGTAATATCATAATATATAACGTAAACTTGTATAATTTTTATTTATGGAAAATTAAAATTATTGAACGTTGAAGTTTTGTATTGACAAACGTGATATAAGAAACAGGTCTAAGTGAAAAAGAAAAGAGAAAGTATATATATTGCAAGGCCGGGAGCCAGTGTAGAATGTTATACGAAGAAAAATGAGTTGAACTTATCTTCTAAATTTGTTTGAACTTACCTTATTAAAATTTATTATTTTATATTGTTGTAATACCTATACTTGTATAAGCAAGTAACAAGCATAAGGTGAAGAAAAATGAGTCTATGTTAAAATTCCATAATATTGCCGAAATTAGGTAAAGAAAATAAGCAAATTCTTTTATTCTAATTGCTTACTTTTAAAAATGTGACTTATCTAAGGGGTGTTAATTTTAACAGATACAAAGAAAAGAAGAGAAAGTGATTTAACCCAAACTTTGCATCATTCAATATGGATCATAAAGTGTTGAGCATTATTTGAAGAACATAAAAGGAGACACAGGAGCCATGTTTCTCAACATACTATTTGGAGAATTGACATTTCATCATTCAAAAGCCAATGCTAACGGAAACAAAGAAATTTGGAATAATCAACTACTTATATATTTATGTATGCCCCAGAAATTGAGCAGGGGCAATATATTTTACCTTTTTAATCATGAAAAGTTATTAGTGAAAAAATTGTAAAATTGTTTACCTTGTTAATTATTAACTAGTGTGAAATTCGAAATCTTAAAAAATCATGAAATTTAAAGTTTAACGCTCTTTTTAATTGTCTATATAAAATGACATATATGATTTATAAATGTCATTTTCTTTTACATTTGCAGAGCGAGTATATTTTTTTATGTCTTTATCATGTTACGTTTTTGCGGTCTTGCGGATACTTGATAATATGAAGTTATGAACACATTTTAATTTAATAAATACTTGTATTATATAGATACCATACGAGTATACGAGTATATCTTAATAATGTCTAAATTAATTATATATGTTGTGTAGACTAGTCATAAGTAATTGAGAATATATTGCATTTTTTTCCCACTACCTAGATATGTACTTTATTTCGCACATGATAAAGTATAGTTTTAGTGATACGTACGTTCTTATAAAATAAGATTTATAACGCTTGTCATAGTTATGTAAGACAAATTAAGATTCAACTTATAAAAGCAAATCAAGCAATTTCCTATAGTTTATACTATTTGTCACTGTTAAAATACGATGGTCAAAGATATAAGGATTATGCATATCTAATATTTGGACTTCATTAACATAATAACAAAATTGCTATGCCAAACCTCAATAAACTCCCAACTAATAACTGAAAATGACATTGTATCTAGCCCCTTGGAAAAAGTTCAATGTATGAGAATGATCAAAATGTATACAAGTACATGTGAATTATCATTATAATGTATAGCAATTATTATTAGATGCGATCAAGAGCATCTACGTACTTATAAGTGATGGTAACAATTTGGCCTTGGTGGCAATAAGTACGAATAAACTCGATCTCATGTTTCTCATCTTTAGATTATCTCATAAGACATGCGAAGCATAAGCTAGTTATCATTTTATCTACACCATGCTAGATTATGTTAACATTATAATTAATTAATTTCTTAATTAATCTTGCATAAATTATAGCCCAAGCTATAAAATTTACACCATTAAACAAGTCTCCAAGCTAATTATCATAATTCATAGCTGAGCACTTTCTTTTGTTAGTATGTATATATAATATGCAGTTTCTTTTGACAAATGTTGCGTCTACAACAATCATTTCATAAGGTATATACAGCTAAACCCTAAGAACTAACAAATAAATATTTTTTGACCACATAACTAATAATGAGCTTGTTTATTTATTAATTTTATAGTGTGCATGCTTATTAAAGAGAGTAATTAAGTAGCATGTGAGAGTTTAGCGCTTATTAATGGCTAATTTAAACTCTATGAGAGAAAGTAATAACTTTTAATGATGAA